GCAAATTGCCCAGCCCAAAAGGAGAAACTGGCTGGCAACCAAGAGGCGAAAAAATATTCCGAAAACGTGTCATGGCATAAGAAATAAGTATTAAATCCCCTCGAAGCACTGAGCTCGAGCTTTTTCAGTAGGACAATAAAGTCCCAGCTTCAAATGAGCTTAGAATGCTGCAGACCAGATAAATTAGCAGATAAGATGGGATTCAGATAAGATAGTGCTAATTAGACACAATATTCAGGAGTGAAACCTACCGTTAAATTTAAGACAGATTGGACTAAAAAAATCATAAGAATACATTGATTCCACAACATTTTATTAAGAACCCATTGGAAAAAAATCTGTTTTTTAAAGTCATTTATAGGATTAGTTAATTTTTTATTTTTTCACCGTTTTTTTCAAGTTTTATGATACAACGCTTTTCGAAATAAAAAAATTGGTTTTGCTGAAAACTGACCAAAATTCCCTAATTCTAAGACAATAACTTTTCTAGTTTTAATTGTAAAGGAAGCTAGCTTGCTTTTTTGTTTTATATGGCATTATTTTTGAGCATACTTTTTTTTTATTTTAATTCAGATAAAATCACCTAGAACCCATAAAGGTTATAGTCAGCATTTAAAATGTTTTAAGAACATAAATTCCAATTATTTAGATCTAGATCGCATAATTCATGGTTAAGCTCTAGGCGGAACGAAGATACACCCCACATGCTAGCAACATGTTAAATTGTCATAAGCCTTAAAAATTCCATTATGATTATTTACTCTAGTACCACCCCCACCCTTACACGATGAACATAAAACACGAAGCACAACACAAACAAAGACACATGGACCGAGATAAGGATACAAAGTTTTCTAAACGAATAAATCTGTTTGTCCTGGTGCCAGGATACAAACACGCACGCACACTAAGATGCTGGTAAAAATTGTAAAATATTTTCAAACAGACACAGGGACATAAGCAAAGCTAATAAATGAGAACTTTTGCGCGACAACGAGAGTAAATCCCGTTTTTACAAGGATGTGAAGGAGCTCAGGAGCAATTGCAGGCCAAAAACGGCGAGAAAACAAGCAGGCTAAAAAAAAAACAACAAATCGCTGCAGGATATGCAGACAAGACAAACAAGTCACGAACCGAAACCAAAAAGAAAAAAAGCAATAAAATACAACTGAAAATGAAGAAAAACTCGTCGGGCCGCAAAAGATTTGCAACATAAATATTTCCCATGGCAGACAAACGATACAAAAACAAAAAAAAAAAAAAAACACGCCACACAAATGGAAAACAAAATGTGAATTGCGGCATTTATTTGTATATTAAGAGCTGATTTTTTGCGCTCACTGTTGTGTTTGCAATGGCGGCGGCCATTTTGCAAACGGCTGCAACAAAATGGCGTCCGCAAAAAACAAATTGCATTGCCTGATGAGTGTTAAGTGAGTGGGTGGCGGTGGGCGGCAAGGGCCCAAAGTTAAGTGGTTGGTGCAACTGAAATCGCAAACTGATGCCACTTTTTTTACTTGAATATCCCAGTGGAAGCCATGACACACTAAACGGTAGCAGAATGCAAGATTTTTGTGATGCTACCAAAAAATTAAATGTAATAATTCCCGAGTAATCCAATTATTTAAAAATTGTCTTGTTTTGTAGAAAACAATTATTCTTCTAAGCCAAAGAATACAGATTCGGGTTCATATATAATTTAACTAAAAATACTTTTACTCTGAACAAAACTGTTAAACCCAATAAACGAAAGCAGTTTTGTGACTTGGGATAATTTAGGATCGTTTGTTGCATTAGAAATCCATCAATAAACACAAATTGCTCTATGAATGGAATTGCTTAATCTCAGCAGGGTATTTTCCTGCCGCGGTTGAGTTTTATTTGGCTTTTGTTTTGTTTTATAGTTGTTTTTTCAAGCTGGCATTATTTTTGAGTAATATGCGCAATGCATCAGGCTCAGACGCAGGATCTCTGGCCCCAGTCTTTCTTCCTGCCAACCACTCGCTGGCGTTATTATTTTTGTTTGCATTTGTTGTTTAAACACACACTCGCACATACACATACACACACACTCATGCTCACTTGACATATTCGTGCTGTCTGCAGGGATTCGAGGCATTTAATTTTTGGTAGCCATTTACGGACCCCAGGCCCCTAAGTCCTTACACAACGGAAAATTCAGTTTTCCGTGCGGCAACTGCATAGCGATGCAGTTGAAAAAGGCCGCCCCCCGATGGGCGTGGCTCTGCCTCATTTTTCGTTGCCTGTTTTTGTGTCTGACCCAGCATGAGAAATAATTTTAAATGCCTGGGAATGGCTCTCTTTTGATGGTTTCCCCAAAAAATGTTTTATGTTTGCGCTCCGTAAGCGGGGTATGAGCTAAAATAGTAGATGGCTTCCGAATGCTTAGCTCTAAAGTATTCCTAAACATTGAGATCTGTGTGCAGGAAATGTAGCAATCTCAGCCAAATGAGAAACACAATTAGTTTTTGACTTATGAAAATGGTCCAGAGCAAATGTGCCATTTTATTTAATGTGGCACAAGAAATATTTTACGTAGCTCAACAAAAGATAAGCTCTCTTTAAGTGAAATGGTTTTGAGTTAAATTTTTCTTTACGAAACTATTCGTATGTAACTTTACTTTCTTTTTTAATACTTTTATTATTGGCTCAGAATATATTTAAATTTTTCTGTTTGCGGTTTTTTTCCTTTTTATATTCGGCTTACTGAAATTTTTTGGCAGTTAAGGGGTTATATACCTTTTTCAAGTTCAAAAAACGAAAATTTTTATTATTTTTTTGATGTACATACTTTCAACAATTTTTCTGCAAAATTTTGTAGAGATCGGGGCACTAGAACCTAAGATACAGCCGTTCATAGCGCACGGTGAACATGACTACCTAATGTCCACCTAAAACTTTAAACGCGATTATCTCGGAGTCGCATTTTTGAGAAAAGGTCATTGCGGTGAGCACGATATCTCGGTAACCACTACATCGATCGATTTGAAATTTTGGGGGATTGTTTGTAGATACAATAGCTAGTTCGTGAACGAAGGAATTTTTTTCGAATTTTTTCTATTTTTTGGGGCGAAAAACTAAATTATTAGACCTCGAAAAATCGATTTTTTGATAAAACAATCGCTGTAACTGTAAAAAATTTTTTTCGTAAAATCCTTCGTTCACGAACTAGGTAACACTATATACTAACGTAGTTTTTTTCATTTTTTTTAAGTTGAGCCGTTTTCTTGTTTTCATGCTCACCGCAAGCCTCTAATGAAAAAAGGACTTCTGCGGGAAGGACTATAACTTCCACAATACTCAAAATTTTCACTCGAAATTTTATACAAATTAAGTTAAGGACACGTACTTTGATAAAATTTTTATTGATTTTAAATAAAACAATGGTAACATGCTAAAAAAAATAAACAAAAACCATGTATTTCTCTGGTGAAAAAGGTATATAACCCCTTAATACCATGCATTTTTCGTATGTCCTTTTCATTTGTGCACTTCAAACAGCTATCGAAAGCTCTCGATAGTTACTGGTTTGCTGTTCAGTGACAGCGTTTTTAGTTAAATTTTGCGTGAGCACTTACAGGTACTCAAATAACACATGGCCACTTATACTCCCCTCAAAAACATTCACATCCTGCCGGCAAGTGTGTCTGTCTGCTCTTTATCTAAACTAACAATCGTCAAAGTGAAGATACAACAGCAAAAACAGTATGCGAGCTGCAAAGTGGATACTCGACATGCATATATGTATGTACATGATCCCCTTGTCCTTTCACCTCTCGTCCGTTTCGGGTCATCCTGGTAATGGGTATTTTTTGTTCCTTCAGTTTATATTCTAATGTTTTGGGAACTTTAATTTTCTGGTCTTTAATTTAATTTAAAACTGTATTCTACGAGTAAAAACTTTTTACTCCCACTATTTCGTTTATCTCCTTAGCGATAAAAACCAATGATTTTTATGATGTTGCTGGAAAGCCCTCAACACCTTTTAAAATAAATCTGAGAAATTTACATCTACAAGTTTAATTAGCAGGTATTTTTTTCGTCTTTTTTATGTTGTTTCCTTTTGGTTGGCACCTCGCTGCTGTGTTGACGTCATAATTAGAACGATGCCGACACAGATGCACATGACTTGGAAAAACAAATTGCGCTGCACTCTGGCCACCCAGCCACACCCACCTCAAAGTTCACCTGTGGCAGATTTATGACACCGAATAACCCCATTCCGACCCCTCACTCCGCACCTTGTCAACCCCTTCGTGTGCTAGATTTGTACATTTTCGTGCTACATTTTAATTTCCCTGCATGGTTGGGGTCTGAAGGTGGGTGGCGCTGGGTGGATTTTCCACTGGGTGGCTGTCGGTGGGTTGTGTTGAAAAACTCATTAACTGTGCACGCTACTTGGCACCTTTTCTCTTTGCGCCCTCTCTTTGCTCGCTTTCTTCTCCGCCTTCTTTCCCCATTTGTTCTTTCCTGCCTTTCAATTTCTTTTCGCCTTGCCTTGTCCTCGCTTTCTTCATTTATTTTATTTTTTTTCGCAAGTTCTTACGCTTTTCCATTTGTGGGCGAAGGTCGCTAAACTTATCTGCATGGAAAGAAAAAAACAATTTTTGCGACTTCCTAATAGGAGGGCGTGGTCATGTGCGTGTGTGTGTGTGTGTGTGCGCGCGATATTTGTTTGTGGGGGTGTGCACACACACGATTGCACAATAAGCCGATTTAAGAGCGCAGAGGGTAGGCAAGACCTACATTAAATCGAGCACAAAATGTATGCATGCGAAATTGAAAAAATGCTAAAATAAGGGATAAGAGGGCGATATATATTGGGTTCAATTATTCAGAAAGTTTTAAAAAGGGCTTTGCAAAAATATATCATTGAAATATTTATCTATTTGTATTGCACATTTGTATTAAATATTACTCATACGACCCGTATAGTGAACTCTAAAACTAATTTATTTTACCCTTTTCTCTCTTTACAGATATGACTGACTTCTCATTCCTTACCGAACTTGATTCGCCATAAGTAAAACAATTCCAAAGACGAATTAAATCCTGTTATAAAAAAAAAAGTAAAAGTTGTTGCATACAATATAATCAATATATTTGCCATATTTAATATCCACTTAAAAATTAGACTTAATTCAGATGCAGTAACTATAAAACACGCACAACCAAACCAAAACAAAAATAAAATCAAATTCATTTAAAAACAGTTAAGTCAGAGGAAAAGCACACACAGAAAACCAACAATAGTAAATGTTGCAAATTTAATCAAACCAACCGAAGTTTAACTAAATTTTATGCAAAATAAATATGTTAAATTTACACAACACAAACCACAATAACAGCAGCGCCAAGAACAACTACAACAAAAGCCACAAAATGCATTTGAAAAGTGCAACGGCAAAAGCAACAATAATGAAACATAAGTTAAGCAAATTTTACGGATACGGTTGGATGCAAGTCTTCCTACTACTTACAGTCCTCGTGATTGGTAATCAAAGTGCCTGGCAGGAGAATATACGACCAAAACTCTACGTTGAATTAGGTGAGTAAAATACCCAAACATTTATACAAAAAAATACACATATATTTTTAGTCCTTAAAACTGTTTAAAGGGGAATAAACACAACCATTTAAAGAATGTGTGCAATCCAACAAAAGTTTGTTGCAAAAATGCATACCTTATATATTATATAAAAAATAATTTGTTTAAATTTAGACACAATATTTGGGTTTTTTCTTATATTCTTTTTGTGAATTCAGGAAATACCATTTACATATTTATTGGAATTTTTGTCAAACATAATCAAATTTATTCGTCATGTTTCAATGTCAGTCAAAGGAAAATGCCAAGAGAATTGCCAATGTGGCTGTGTGAGACATTGTAACCAAATTAAGACCAAGGCAAATGTCAATTTAAATTATGACCAATAAAAGTTGCAGATGAAAGGCAACCCAACATTTGGGATATCAGGAGGAAGGCAACGAATCGAACGAAGTCAACTGCCAAAAACTTTAATGACAACATTTTTATGAGCTACAAAATGTAATTCGACTGCCAGACTCTCTTGCCAGCGTTGGCAATAGAAAGCCGGAAGATAGTTGGAGATATTCTGTTAAAGTTTGACATCGAAAAACTCACCCAGTGCCGCCCAACTCATCAGGAAACCTTTTTTGCCATCCCTCGAAAGTATCCACTTTTGGCAGGTGAAGAAGTTTGCTCAAGAAATGAAGCAATAACTTGGACAAAGCGTGTGTGCGAGAAGGAGACATAGCTACTAATGCACACACTTTTTGAGATATATCCAGACATCCACACGTTTTGCTATCTTAACTATAAATAACAAAAATTCCTGGAAGACATTATTTGCATAAAAGTGGCGAAGCTTTCAGTGCTGAAATGAGTCTAGTGGCATGGGATAGTGTGCTGCTGGTGGGTTGTTGGGTGGGTTAGCTGTTGCCAGCAGCTATTTCCAGTGTCCTGTGTGTGTCCTCAATGTGCGACATCATCATCATCATCAGCATCATCATCGTCGCCATCATGATCGCCGTCAGGAGTTACGTTGCATATGCAAATTTTGTTCCTTACCCATTTTTTTTTGGCCAAAAGTTGGGCGACTTCTTCATCGTGCTCACGTAGGTTGGAGACAGATATATGTACACCTCTTTATATATATATATATATATGTATATTTATACGTTGTACAATGTACATAGCCCAGATACATATGTATCTGCACCGTTTTTTGTTTGTGCAAGATGAAGCAGAAAAAGTTGCCAGCAGCAGATGGAGAAGAAGTCGACGCAAGGCTGGAGTTTCGGTGTAGAAGTACTAAATTCTAAAAATATCTTGTGCACGCTTCAGAAATTACGTTATTAAATGTGCATTTGGCACACTCCAAATGGGAACAGAAGGAGGCTAAAACCAGTCTCTCCCAAAAATGTTGCATTCTTCAAGACAATTTGTGCACCAAAGATATGGAGTCAAATCTTTCCGGGAAGGGGTTGCAAAAGATGCCTTGTTTGCCAGGAAGTAGTTCAACCAAATGTGTTTAAAAATTTTATGTTACCTATGAATTTGAATTGCGTGTCACATTTGGGAAAATGGTAGAGAAAAAGCTGTGAAATGGGTTTAAAGAATTCGCATGAACAGAATATGACACCTATTTGTTCCGGAAATTGTTTTTCCTAATATCGTTACATTCGATATTGGTTGAAAAATCTTTTTAAAAAATTCACTTTGCAATATTCATAATCCTTATTTAAAAGTAAAAAAATCTCCACTCTAAAATTTCTTTTCGGGAATGCACTTTGCGATTTCTCCATGCTCAATATCTCATTAAGAAACTCATTTCTCTTCGGCAACTGCTGTTGCCAACTGGAATGAAAATTTTTTTGTTATTAGTTTAGCTGTAAAATCAACTCAAGGATAATCTGTGAAGCGAACCTGTTAAGGCCCCGACCATCCCACTCGCGCAGTGCTAAACCAATTACTTAGCTCCAGTCCCCTTCATTCCGCACTGTCAGGGGACATTGCACGTGTTAAAGTTCATTTAAAATCCATCAGGGACAAGGAGAGAGTGGGCACGGAAAAGCGTTATTTCACAACGGGGTGGCTGGGTGACAATTTCTTCTTCTTCTTTACGCTGTTTGGGGCACTCGTGCATAACAGGAAAATAGGGTTAATGGGGAAATTATGAATGCGCCCAAGGAGGTGCAGACCAAATGAGCAAGGGTGTTTGCCTGAATATGTGAGTGGGGCAATGCATTCATATGCCATTGTTGGTCAGAAGAGCGAAAAAAAGTGGATACACTACAGTTAAGGATCTCGACTTCCAGATACCTGGTAGCCATGATATTACTTAAAGCTTAGCATATTTCATTTTATACTTTTTTAACAAATTTCTCTGTCCTTTTAATATTCATCAGAGAGGTTTTTGTTGACATTTTGTCCTTTAACAGTTAGTGAAGAAGATATTTCTATATAATAATAATATACCCGCATTTACTGGGTATAAAAAAAAAAGCAACCACCCTTTTTTGCCATCGTAGTCTTCTTCTGTAGCCTTCGCTTGGACCATAAAATATTACAACCCTGCGTGGCCAGAGTTGCATTTGACAGCCGCAAGTGGTTGTCATTAGGAGCTGCGACAAAACGGTCATTTAAATGCACTCTTCTTCTTGATAGCTGCTTCTTCCTCTTCCCCTTCTTGTATGCTAAAGTGGGCGCAACATTTGAGGCAAAATTACGTCTATCAACTGGGCGGCAAGGACGTAAGCTAATGCTGATCGTTTTGCGGCACTTTTGCGTTGCATTCTGCCCCGAGGAACTGAACTTTTCCCCTTTTTTCCTTATTACAATTTCGTGGACACTCAGTAAAATGTTTCTTTTGCTTATATTTTGGTACGTGCATAGATTTTCTGATTACCACAAAACCAATCTGTGGCTAAGGAGAAAGAAAATAAGTTCAATGCTAATGGAATTCTCAGAAATTTGGTTATTGGTAGACAAGCAAAAAAAGTTAGCTTAAAATCTTTCGACTTTTTAATACATATATTAAGAATTAAAACTATTTACTGCTTCTGTTAAACCTCGGCTTTTCTAATATATAAATGGCTAATTTAATTAATGTCTGTAGTAGGTCGTGCTTGTTAAATTGATAATTTCCGCTCAATTGAACCTGTATAAGGTTAAGTCACCCAGATGCTGACCAAAGTTGCCAGCATCGACTTTAAATGACACGAACTTCCGTTGGCAGCCAATTAGGCGAGTGAAAACTGCATATTTCTCAGGTTCCAGAAACAGATAGAAAAAAAATCACAGTCGTAAGTTTAAAAAGGTTCGCCTTTTATTTCTGTACCTTATGTTCAAAACCTCCAACCTTTAACAAAAGGAGAATTTATTTTTAATATATATGTATTTCGAAAAACATTTTTAAAGAAATTTTTGTTAATATTAAGTTCAAGTTTTTTTTACTGTGTAAGAAGAGTAAGTTACTTCCTGTCTGAAGCACTTGGCGAGGGCTCCGCGGCCTTCGTTCGAAGTCGCCCAAAAATAGTTCTGTCGCCGACGTCTTCGACTTCGGCGTTCTTCTGGTCGTCATTAAAACTGTCTGCAACATGTCAGAACAGCAAACATAACTGTTAATTGCCATTTGTGCGCGAAGTCGGAATTCCGTGCCTTCTCCTCTCAATTTTCCGGTTTCACTTGGTTCCGCCGCCACTTCGGTCTCATTTTCATATTTCGCCGCATGCGCCTCATTACAATTTAATTCACAATGTAATTGCAAGCGTTGAGTGGGATGAAAATGGTAAATGAAAGGATGGTATGAGTACAGAAAAAGGGGGAGTTCTGGGAGCAACTAAGCAGCGGGAATGGGAAGAGAGCGAACCACCGACTTGGCGAAAAGTTTTCTTGCAGTTTTGCGCCACTTGACACGCGCCTCGCATAATTTCCACACGTCTTATGTGCCGCAAAGCTCGCATATGTATGCACTCTCCATGCGCCGACGTAGCCCCCCATTTCTCAACCCACAACTCCCCATTCGCCCCACGTTTCATTTCCTTGCCATATGCATTTTTGGCAGTCGAAAGTCGAAAAGGGCGGAAATGCGACAACTACAAAAAATCCCCAACCCCAACTTTAAGCTAGCTTTTTTGCTCGTCCCCCCATATTTCTGTCTGGCTTTGTTTCCTTTCCACTTGTCCATATTTACATATTACTTTGATTCCATTTATATTTCAGTTAAATAAATTGTGTATTGATAATCGGCGTTGTCATCGTTTGGCTCTGTCTATATTTAGATTTTTGAAATATGTGAGACGCATGGTAAAATTGGAGATAGGGATTACAGGGGATTACGTAAGACAGAGCAGAAACGGAAACTCAATCATAGAATAACTTAATAATTTAAAATGCTTGTTATCTTCGAAGGAGAAATTCGACTGGAAGCAATTTTGAAAATTAAATAATTACTGTTATCAGATAAATAATGCCAGTAATAATTGGAACATTTAAATGACTTTTATAAATGTCTGTAAAAATAATATATATGAAGCACTTTATGTCTTTAAAGATTTAAATATATTTCTCATTTATCTAAGCTAACATTTGAATTGGGCACATTTCGGCCATGTAATTTGAAATGGGAATTACAAATCACTGGGTTGTGCTTTAAACAAAAAAAAATAGAGAAAAGCGAAGCGGAAGAGTAAATCCGAAAGGCACACCCAATCAATTATATAGACAGCAATTTTACTGCCCCCACTGGGCAATGTCGTTCCATCCTCTCCTCTAGAGCAACCCACACCCTGCCCCAAGAATCCGCCCCATGAATTCGTGTCCAGCCTCCCAGCGCTGCACTTGTGTTCGTACGTACGTGTATGTCTGTGCAATTGGAACATTTCATGGATTAAACGTTTTCTTAATTGAGTGCCTCATTTTCCGGTTAGGAAGTTTTTCATGCCGAGAAAATAAATTACACACATGAGTGCAATTTGGTAGCGGCAGTCGCTCCAGGACGCAGGATGCAGTCGCCTGAAACG